TATCTGATGATCGACTCTTTTAAATGAAACCAGAGAGCGTTGACAGAGAGGAGAAGGTAGAAATGACTCAACTGTATATCAATGCTGTCTACTACCCAAAGGAATGTGTCAGAATTGGGATTTGACAGCACGCCTTCATTTGGAAACCAGAAATCTAAATCCTTGAGTCTGACTGGCTCCTTAGACCAATCACAATGAAGTACAGTTTCAGTCAATCAAGATAGCCATTGTAAAACATCAATGCTGAGTCAACATAAAATAGTTTTATCTAAATGGGTTTTGCTTATATTTTTTCAACTGTTGTGTTTAACTTGCATGGCCTTTAAAATTTAACTAGTCAACATAAAATGGCTATACCYCAGTCAGGTTATTTATTGTGATAGTAAGGAATCTTTTTTCAGCCAAATAAGCAAACAACAAAACTTCAACATTTCTGCTCATGAGATATCTCGGTTTAAATTTTGTCATGTAAGGTGGCAGGTGATATGCAATTCAATGAATGCTTGGCCTTTAATTTAATGGTTTATTAATTTACATTCAGTGTGGGTTTAGTAGTGTGTCACTAACCAATGCTTTCAGACCCATCAGGTGTCAATGGGACTTCCTCTTGCGCACATCCAGCTATGCACCATTTTTCCTCAGGTTTGTTATTTCCATTTTATGGCAGTATGAAATAGGCTATCGATTCAACTTGCTCTATTTCAACTTTGGCCAAGATTGGATTTTTTTYCCTCTTCTTTCTTCCCCCCCTTTTTTTAACGAGCTGGGCTGGGCTGAATCCCCCGACCGGACCGTCGGGGAGCAGCTGCCGCCTCTCAGGTCAGAGCGCGCAAACGATGCGCCTCTGATTCATCCGCAGTTTGAACACGCGGCGCTCAGGTGGAGAAGAGGAGGAGGAGGAGGAGAGGGAACCGCCGCTCGGGACGGATCGGATGAAAATAGTCTGGGATGCGCAAAAAGCGAGAGATTGAGTGCACACTGACAGAACATTTTTACCACCATGTGTAGTTTATGTCTTACATTTCTTCGGAGAGTGGGGGAAAAGTTTGACTGTTAAAACATGATGTTCTGCGTCGCTGCTGAGGATTCCGGTGTCTTTCGAAGTGGACAAGCATCATTTAAGAAATAGCTGCGATTCCTTTTTTTTTTTTTTTTTTTTTTTGGGTCCTTATTTCTGTGCCAAATCCAACAGAGGAGGCTTTTTATTCTCTGCTCGTCATCATTCAACCGGGATTGCATTTAAATTAGCCCCAGAATAATGGACTTCCTCGGACTGTACTTTCTGCAGCTGGCTCTCATTGGTAAGTTGAGCAACATTTGAAATAACGCAGCCGAACTTGATGCGATCACGTTGTGGGAAATAGTCGCTGCAGGTCGTGTTTGACCTGTTTTTTTTTTCTCCCTGTGTTTTCCAACTCGGTGGGTTTAAAGTTGGATGTTGTTCCCCTCCGCTGCAAAAGCAGCCAATTGTATCCGTGCAAGGATTACAGCAGAAAAAGGAGTTTATTTTTTTTTAAATCACTTAACTAAAAATGCACTAAACAGATTTTCCCTTCTAATTATCTGCCCTGGTGTCTTTAGTTGATTGCATGTGGTGCATGATGTCCACAGAGACATCATGTCAGGCTGCTGCTAGTTTTTTTTTAACCATGCCAACGCAGATTGTGTGTGTGTGTGTGTGTGTGTGTGTGTGTGTGTGTGTGTGTGTGTGTGTGTGTGTGTGTGT